TTATTTTATTTGTGATGACCGCTTTGAGGACAAAGAGCCATTAAGCATACATGATAGAAAATCGAAAGGCGATTCTAGAACATAGAGAAATTTTAGCAAGAAATTATTATTTCTTCTCTTTTCCCTTCTTCTTCTTGCCGGTTTCACCCTTGAGCTCCTTAGAGACCTTCTTTATTACAGATAGATTTGGATAGGATGATCCAACAGATGATTTCATTTCTTCATCAGATTCACCTTCGATGTACCCTACAAGCTCGGTTTTGCAATCATAAGTTCGATAGAAGGCTCGGAGATCCTTGTCCATGGCAGGATTATTCCAGATTTCCAAAGGCATGAATCCCTTTTTAACTATGAGAGGGGGTTCCTCATTAGGATCAAATGATTTGGCATCTTCTTCGGATCTTCGCTTGATGAGTTCATCATAATCCTCAGGATCTGAGTCAGAGGAGACATCCATGGGAGCACGTGGGCTATTGCCAGGATAAAGGTCGCCTTGTTCTTCCCTCACAAGACGAGCTTTTTTCTCTAATTTTCTTTGTTGCACCCCTGGTGATTGGCGCCTGAGGAGCCATTGTTGAAGGGCTTGAGATACGTTAAAGTGGAACCAATGACCCCCTTTTATAGCCATATATGTGATATAGATAATCAATGTATGTATATCGATTTTAACCAGGTGCGAATAACCAGGAGAGATAACATCGATTTCTGTGATTTTTGAAACTGATGTGAGTCTGTGCATTGATGAGCATCAAATTCCGCACAACTTTCAAATTCAAGTTTGAAACTTTTACGAGATGGCACATTGGCAATGAGTTCATGTTTGACCGGAATAGCAACGTTCTGATATTTTAATATCATGGTCAAGATAATAATTATTACTGACATCGAGAACAGTAGATTTTATTAAGCGAAACCAGAGAGCAAGTGACCATGCCATACAATCAGAACAAACATTAGTGATTCAAAGAAATCGATAAGGCATGTGAAGCTCCAGACGGGTTGACTCTGTTGGAATTTTTAGCTAAAAATGGCATTCTGAGTGATTATTTTGTGGTACAAATATATGTGGGTCCACTTCCGATTTGGGTCGGGTTAAAGTGGATTCGGGTTCTTCGTAGTGAGACGAAGAATTTGATCTAATGTACGCTCAAAATGGATAATAGGTGAATGAGAAATTGATTCTCAAAGTGAACCTATTTGAGAGAAGTCAAAAACTTAAGTTTAAATGCTAATTGGAAATTAGCATTTTAATAACTTTCGTTTGCACGAAAGTTGGTTGGAAGCTTAAGTGTAATTAAGCTTGAAAAGCTTAATTGAATTGGGATGCACTCGTGCTGTGATGATGCATGGACGAATGTATTAAGCCTTGGTAGGCTTAATTAGTGAAATGGAGTTTAGCTCCTCTCGCGTGAGCTCTCGTGCAGCACCAATTTGGTGCTTCTAGCACGAGTCAATGCTATATGCATTGATTCGTGTTACACCATTTCGGTGCTTGCGGACCACTCGGGTGTGGTTTCGGTCCCAATTCGTTAAACCTTTGGGTTTGTACGGACTTCTCGGTCACTCAGATATTTTGAAAGGGTCGTTGTGGTCGGTACGAATTAATCGCGTATTAAGTTCGTGACCGTTGGAATTATTACGATAATAATTACGACCGTTTCAAACGTTATTATCCAATTATTAAATCTTCGATTTATGTTGGTTAATGGCCATGATAATGCTACTTAATTCCCCTCTCCCTACATATATCTTGTTATGTTGGCAGAATGTTTCACCCCATTCTTGAAACTCAAAAAACAAATCTATTGCTTTTCTCTCTACTCTCCTTGATCTCAAAAGAGAAAATTGTTTGCCAATATAATTCCGTAAAACATTGGAGTGCTCAACTTGTGTTCTAGTTCGCTAGGCTTTGGGTTTGAGTGCTCGAACGCCAAAGTCGTAATCCGTTTTATCCTGGGAGACTGACGCCACAACGATCCTAGCACCCTCGGGAGGTGGCGAATCGGTTTTAAGGAGAGTGTGTGTACACACGACTCGGGCTTCCTCTGCTTCTTCTTGTTTCTTCGCGTTGGGTTGAAACCTCAGGTTAGAAACCCGTTCTTGCTTTTATTTTGTTCTTGGTTTCAGACCAAGTGGTGGGATTAATCTCGGCTAGATTAAATCCTTGTACTAGTTTCGTACTAGTTGTGATGGGATTAATTTCGTGGAAATTAAGTCTCGTGTACTAGTTTCGTACTAGTTGTGGTGGGATTATTTTGATAAAATAAATCCCTATTTGGTTCATATATATACGTTGTATATATATGTAATTTTGGTTTCGTACCAAAATTGGTTGGAATTAATTTTCTATAAATTAAATTCCATTTTTTGGGACATATATATATATATATATATATATATATATATATATATATATATATATATATATATATATATATATATATATATATATATATATATATATATATTGTTGGATATTGGTGAATAAATCGATACACAAAATATATATATATATTTTGTGTATCGATTTATTCACCAATATCCAACAATCTTAAAACCGAGTAATTTTTGGTGATTAAATCGATGGATTTCACGAGTGGTGGAATCGTGAATGTTGCCCGTGGGGCACATTCAAATGGCCAGATCGGCAACGTAGTTGCACTTTCCGAAACCCCGGTGAACTTTGGTTCGGAGACCGGTGGTGGCATCAAAGGGTATATCCCTACGATGAAGGTACATGGGATGGTACCTTGTGGATTGGTCGAAAGACCATGGAAATTCAAGATGTTGAATTTCGAAGGGTTGCAACTTAAAATGTTGTACAACCTTGTAATTCTCGGCATGTCATTGTTTTTGACCGAGATGGTTCCTAGTGAAAAGGAACACGAGTCTAACGCTCAAACTGTTAGCATAGTACGGATTTGGAAATATTTGGTTTTCCTATGCCTAAACTATGTTTTGAATGGTCTGTGTGACTCGTTGTGGGAATCTTTGGACCTGAAGTATAAGAGTGATGACGCTAAGGCAAAAATGTTTGTCGTTAGCCGATTACTTGAATACAAGATGGTGGATTCCGGGATCGTCCTAAGTCAAGTTAATGAAGGAACGATCGTGAGTGAAGCCTTTCAAGTGGAACCTAGTATCCATTTGTTGCCTTTGGGCAGAAAGGACTTCAAGAAGCAAGTCTACGGAAAATGCTTCAATTGTGGCACTACGGGCCACAAGTGGGCTGATTGTAAAGCACTTAAGAGGAAGAATTGTAATTCTGAATCTAACATGGTGCGGGTCAATCAGAATGAGTCCGAAATCATCCTCTCGGCAATGGTGACCGAGGTAAACTTGGTTGGTTCGAACCAAACGGAGTGGTTCATTGATACGGGTGCGACCCGACATATGTGTTCCAACCGTAAGTTGTTTACTACCTTCGAGACGACTAATTGTGGGAAGGTATGGATGGGAAACTCTGCTCAGTCTACTGTGGTAGGTATGGGCAAAGTAGTTCTCAGAATGACCTCTGGGAAAGAGCTGACTCTGAACAACGTCTTGTACGTACCGGAGCTACGGAAGAACTTAGTTTCTGGTTCATTGTTGAACAAGAATGGCTTCCGGTTAGTGTTTGAGTCAGATAAAGTTGTTTTGTCGAAATCAGGAACGTACGTAGGCAAGGGTTATGTGCTAGATGGGCTTTTTAAGCTCGATGCAATAACTGCGATTAATAAGAGTATTATTAATTCAACCTACTTACTTGTCTTCGTGTTTGTGGCACGGTAGACTGGGTCATGTTAATTTTAATTCTATATGTAGATTAATTAACTTGGACCATATTCCTGCATTTCAAGTTGATAAGCACAAATGTGAGATTTGTGTTGAGGCAAAACAAACGAAAATTCCTTTTAAATCGATTGAAAGGAAAATGGAACCACTTGAGTTTGTTCATAGCGATGTATGTGATTTTAGATCAATACAATCGCGCGGTGGTAATAAATATTTTATCACGTTTATCGACGATAGCACACGATACTGCTATGTGTTTTTGCTTAAGAGCAAAGACGAGGCCGTCGATAAATTCATTCTTTATAAGAATGAAGTGGAAAACCAACTTAATCGGAGGATTAAGAAGGTTAGAAGCGATCGAGGTGGTGAGTACGAAGCACCTATTGGTGACTTTTGTGCAAGTGTAGGTATCATACACGAGCGTACGGCACCTTACGCACCTCAATCGAACGGTGTTGCCGAACGGAAAAATCGCACATTGAAAGAGATGATGAATGCGATGTTGATAAGTTCGGGCCTACCTCAAAGTATGTGGGGTGAGGCGATTTTGACAAGTAACTACCTTTTAAATAAGGTTCCCCGCAAGAAGCTCGATAAGACTCCTTATGAGCTGTGGAACGGTAGGAAACCTTCCTACCAGTACCTGAAAGTGTGGGGGTGTCTTGCCAAAGTTTTGGTTCCAACACCTAAGAAAATAAAGATAGGTCCTAAAATGGTGGACTGTATCTTTATTGGCTATGCACATAACAGTAGTGCATATCGGTTCTTAGTACACGAGTCCCATAATCCGGACGTACATAAGAACACGATAATTGAATCAAGGAATGCATCATTCTTTGAAGATGTATTTCCGTGTAGGTCCAGTGAGGGACCTAGTACGTCGAAACGAGCATTCGACGAGGCTGTGGATAACGGCAGTGGAGGGTTTGAAATAGAACCCGAGCTCGAAGCTAGACGTAGCAAGCGAGTTAGGATTGAAAAATCCTTTGGTCCAGATTTTCTGACGTACATGTTAGAATGTGATACGCATATTCTAACTTGTTTACTAGAAAATGAACCGGATTTTCTGACATGTTTGTTAGAAAATGAGCCTCAAACGTATGTAGAAGCTGTGACTTCTACGGAAGGACCAATGTGGAAAGAGGCTATAAAGAGTGAAGTGGATTCTATCCTACAGAATCACACTTGGGAACTGGTTGATCTTCCTCCGGGTAGTAAGCCCTTGGGATCCAAGTGGGTCTTTAGACGGAAGTTGAAACCTGATGGTTCCATTGAGAAGTATAAGGCTAGGCTTGTAATTAAGGGTTACAGGCAACGCGAGGGCCTTGATTACTTTGACACGTATTCTCCCGTAACGAGAATAAATTCCATAAGGATGATACTTGCCATAGCCGCACTGCGGAATTTGGAAGTTCATCAAATGGATGTGAAAACAGCTTTCTTGAATGGCGAGTTAGATGAAGAAATCTATATGGAACAACCTGAGGGTTTTGCGGTTCCGGGCCAAGAAAAGAAAGTCTGTAAATTGGTTAAATCGTTATATGGTTTAAAACAAGCGCCTAAGCAGTGGCACGAGAAGTTTGACCATGCGATGTTAACCAAAGGGTTCAATATAAACGAAAGTGACAAGTGTGTCTACGTTAAGGAAACGATAGACGGTTATGTCATTCTTTGTTTATATGTGGATGATATACTCATCGTGGGTAGTAACGATCGAATGATCAAATCTACAAAGGACATGTTAAATTCGAGATTTGACATGAAGGATATGGGTTTGGCTGATTTAATCCTTGGGATTAGAATCGTGAGAAGACCTGATGGTCTTGTGTTAAGCCAATCTCATTATGTTGATAAAATCCTTGCAAAGTTTAACAAGGACGATTATCAAGTGGCTAGGACTCCATTAGATACTAGCGCTCATCTGTCCAAGAATCGCGGAAAGTGTATCTCTCAAGTAGAATACGCTAGGATTATTGGAAGTTTGATGTATCTAATGAGCTGTACCAGGCCTGATATTGCCTTTGCGGTTAGCAAACTCAGTAGATATACGAGTAACCCCAGTGATGCGCACTGGAAGGCAATAGTGAGAGTTATGAGATACTTGAGGTATACTCGTGACTGGGGACTGCACTATACACGATATCCTGCTGTACTTGAAGGGTATAGCGACGCTAACTGGATATCGGATATGAGGACTCTAAGTCCACGAGTGGCTACGTGTTTACGTTAGCCGGTGCAGCCGTTTCTTGGAAATCCTCGAAACAAACCTTGATAGCTAGATCCACGATGGAATCTGAGCTGATAGCCTTAGACAAATGTTGTGAAGAGGCTGAATGGCTACGCCATTTTGTGGAGGATATTCCTTGTTGGGATAGACCTGTACCTCCAATTAGTGTGCATTGTGATAATCAAGCAACAATTGGGAGAGTACAAAGTCATATGTATAATGGTAAGTCAAGACATATACGTCGAAGACATAATACCATTAAACAACTACTCACAACGGGTGTTGTCTCTGTTGACTATGTGAAGTCAAAGGACAATATAGCGGATCCGCTAACCAAAGGGTTGAGCAAAGATGTTGTTGAGAAGTTGGCACGAGGAATGGATTTGAAGCCCATGGAATAAAAGTTCTATAGTGAATAAAATGACCCCCTTTTATAGCCATGTATGTGATATAGATAATCAATGTATGTACATCGATTTTAACCAGGTGCGAATAACCAAGAGAGATAACATCGATTTCTGTGATTTTTGAAACTGATGTGAGTCTGTGCATTGATGAGCATCAAATTCCGCACAACTTTCAAATTCAAGTTTGAAACTTTTGCGAGATGGCACATTGGCAATGAGTTCATGTTTGACCGAAATAGCAACGTTCTGATATTTTAATATCATGGTCAAGATAATAATTATTGCTGACATCGAGAACAGTAGATTTTATTAAGCGAAACCAGAGAGCAAGTGACCATGCCTTACAATCAGAACAAACATTAGTGATTCAAAGAAATCGATAAGGCATGTGAAGCTCCAGACGGGTTGACTCTGTTGGAATTTTTAGCTAAAAATGGCGTTTTGAGTTATTATTTTGTGGTACAAATATATGTGGGTCCACTTCCGATTTGGGTCGGGTTAAAGTGGATTCGGGTTCTTCGTAGTGAGACGAAGAATTTTATATAATGTACGCTCAAAATGGATAATAGGTGAATGAGAAATTGATTCTCAAAGTGAACCTATTTGAGAGAAGTCAAAAACTTAAGTTTAAATGCTAATTGGAAATTAGCATTTTAATAACTTTCGTTTGCACGAAAGTTGGTTGGAAGCTTAAGTGTAATTAAGCTTGAAAAGCTTAATTGAATTGGGATGCATTCGTGCTGTGATGATGCATGGACGAATGTATTAAGCCTTGGTAGGCTTAATTAGTGAAATGGAGTTTAGCTCCTCTCATGTGAGCTCTCGTGCAGCACCAATTTGGTGCTTCTAGCACGAGTCAATGCTATATGCATTGATTCGTGCTACACCATTTCGGTGCTTGCGGACCACTCGGGTGTGGTTTCGGTCCCAATTCGTTAAACCTTTGGGTTTGTACGGACTTCTCGGTCACTCAGATATTTTGAAACGGGTCGTTGTGGTCGGTACGAATTAATCGCATATTAAGTTCGTGACCGTTGGAATTATTACGATAATAATTACGACCGTTTCAAACGTTATTATCCAATTATTAAATCTTGGATTTATGTTGGTTAATGGCCATGATAATGCTACTTAATTCCCCTCTCCCTACATATATCTTGTTATGTTGGCAGAATGTTTCACCCCATTCTTGAAACTCAAAAAACAAATTTATTGCTTTTCTCTCTACTCTCCTTGATCTCAAAAGAGAAAATTGTTTGCCAATATAATTCCGTAAAACATCGGAGTGCTCAACTTGTGTTCTAGTTCGCTGGGCTTTGGGTTGGAGTGCTCGAACGCCAAAGTCGTAATCCGTTTTATCCTGGGAGACTGACGCCACAACGATCCTAGCACCCTCGGGAAGTGGCGAATCGGTTTTAAGGAGAGTGTGTGTACACAGGACTCGGGCTTCCTCTGCTTCTTCTTGTTTCTTCGCGTTGGGTTGAAACCTCAGGTTAGAAACCCGTTCTTGCTTTTATTTTGTTCTTGGTTTCAGACCAAGTGGTGGGATTAATCTCGGCTAGATTAAATCCTTGTACTAGTTTCGTACTAGTTGTGATGGGATTAATTTCGTGGAAATTAAGTCTCGTGTACTAGTTTCGTACTAGTTGTGGTGGGATTATTTTGATAAAATAAATCCCTATTTGGTTCATATATATACGTTGTATATATATGTAATTTTGGTTTCGTACCAAAATTGGTTGGAATTAATTTTCTATAAATTAAATTCCATTTTTTGGGACATATATATATTTTATATATATTTTTTGTGTATCGATTTATTCACCAATATCCAACAGACTCATCAGTCACACCAGGCAAGCTAGCCATCTTTGCGTATTCGTCCAGTTCCTCTAAGGAGAGGGTGGGCTCAGCCTTCATTTGAGGAGCTTCAGGAACGGGATACCAACGAAAGAGTGGTGTATTGGATGAGTTCTTGTGTGCATGTTTCATCATCCTTTCGTGTGCCAACTTTTTGGCTTGTTCCTGATGGAAGGCTCTCTTGGTCTGAGATTCTTTGACAATGTTGTCTAGAATTTCTTTGTCTTTTTTGTTAGTTGAGCTTGGCATAGAGTATGTGACATTCACCCTTTCACCATCCTCTTCCAGTTTTATAATAGTGGCATTGGTGACTTTGCTTGGTTCCAAGAGATGGTGGTTTAGCCGAATTGCTTGCTTTTCTGCTTCGTCCATCTTTTCTTTGCCTTTGTCCCGATTCATACCTGTAAATAATACTTACTAAAATACCGAAGATGTGAGTAAATTTCGTTGAGGATTGAAGTAATTTATAGATGCAAAGGTTGCGTGTTGATATGTTCAAAAGATTTTGGATGGAAGTGCCAAATCCCTTTTTCGGGAATCATTCAGAAACTCTGTGGCACATCTTTTTATACGAGACAAATATTAAATTTTATCATAGACGAAGGAACAGAAATCTTTATTCATGAGATTTGTAACATAACCACAGCTTAACATCGAGACTTAAGATGGTTCTTTTAGGACTTCTTCTTTTTGCTGCTAGCTATAGATTTGAGTGGGGAGGGCATTTTTGGAGGGGTGCTCGATGGTGAGTAGTCGAAACTATCACTCCTGTCTAGCACGCTATCTACATCAGCATATCCTATGGTATTGCCAACAGAGTGAAATGATTCATGTGATTCGTGTTGGATCACGAAGGAGGTTTTGCAAGTATTGCGAATTTGCTATCACTTTGTTCAGAGCACCCTCATTTTCTTCCTTTTTGAGAGGATCACAGAATATTTCGGTTTCATCTCGTTCCTTGTTTTCTATGATTGTTGTCTTCTCTTCGTGTTTTGTACTCATACCTGTAAACATGGATAACTCAAACAATTTTTTTTAGAATAAGTACTTAGTATGAGCTCATAGAACCACACATTTGTCCTTTTATAGCCCGAAGGGATGTGCTTTTGCGTGTTATAGTAGATAACATGCTTCCTTTTAACTTCCCGATATCTGCTTTATGGAATCATTTCAGGAATCTCTGGATCACGATCTTATTAGCACGCCAACAAGTTATGTAAACTCAATCATTCCAATTTCGTGTCGGAGTGTGGCAAATCTATTTTCACATAATGGTTTAGTGAGAATATCTGCCAATTGATCCTCAGTATTAACATACTCAAGAGATATGTTCTTTCTTTCAACATGATCACGGATAAAGTGATACTTGATATCAATATGCTTTGTGCGAGAGTGCAATACAGGATTGTGCGTAATTGCAATTGCACTTCTATTGTCACACTTTATTTTCACTTCTCGAGCTATTACACCATAATCTTTTAATTGGTGAATCATCCATAGGATTTGTGCACAACAACTGCCAGGGCAATGTATTCGGCTTCAGCAGTACTAGTTGCAATAGAATTTTGCTTCTTGATAAACCAAGACACGAGTCTTCCCCCTAAGAACTGGCAGGTTCCTGAGGTACTCTTGCCATCAATTCTACACCCAGCAAAATCAGCATTTGAATAGCCAACAAGATCAAAAGAATTTCCTTTTGGGTACCAAAGTCCTACACTCTGGGTTCCCTTAAGGTATCTTAAGATATTCTTAGCAGTACTTAGGTGACTTTCTTTCGGTTTAGA